CTAAAATATAACATGGACAAAATATTATTTATGTCATGCTAACTCTGTGTTCCATGCACTCCGGAAGGGGGCACTGGGCTGCCGGTAGGGGTGGTTACCTGGTAACACTTGTGATAATTGAAATTTTATTATGTCATATTAATAATTTCTCTTCCTATACTTTAAAACATGTTTGATGAAAAGAATTTGATTTCTCTGTTATCTTTTTAAGTTTCTGTCCGTCCACACACAAAGAAAGAATCTTTTGAATAGACCAATCAATTTTCGCTTTATTTTTCTCACAAAATTTTCGCATTATTTTTCGCATTTTTTTGCGAAATCTTCACATTATTTTTTCGCATTTTTCGCGAAACATTTGCATTTTCGTTATTTTATTTTTCGCGAAACAGATTAAAGCGAAATTTCTCGAAAAAAACGAAAATTTTCGCATTTTTCGCGAGAAAACGAAATGCGAAAAAATTAGAACATTTTCGCGAACGATTTTTCCTATTCGCTGCAAACCCTAATCCGAATAGATGAACAACTTTATCTAAATAATATTTGTTTTAACGTAGTTTTACACAATTTCCAGTGTTTCTAATTTCGATCTTTGAAATTAGCTGAAATATTCAGAAGTTTGTTTAGAGGTAGCAACTTTTGTGTTAAGTATCGTTAATATGAACATTTCATCTCGACATCCAATGTGGACACTTATATATTTGAGGGTGAATGCTTGATCCCTTAAATAATGATATCCCTACAGGGTATGACCACTACGGGATATCAAAGAGGGATTAAATTAATCCGTAGCTTTGCATGACCATCCCGAGCTTCACAACACATTCAGTGTCAATCAAAACGACTACAAAAATATTTTCTAATTATATCTAACCCTTCGTAGATATCAAGTTTATTAACAGATTAAACTTAAATCCTTCACTTAAAAGTTTCCCTAGTGGATTAAGAGTTAATCCGCTAAGGCTAAGCACTATTCCAAACATAATTTCGCCCTGAAGCCTAAAATTTAAAGATTGATCGCGTTCATTTAAGTTCCATAGTTGATACATGTGCATAGTACAAGACTCCATAATTGTTTGTTCCTGTGCTCTGGTATGCACTCTTCAACTTCCGGGGGAGCTGGAAACTCATCCGGACTTACTTCCGGTAAACTAGGTTAGCAGGATATTTATCATCAGCATACTATGCTCTTTTAGATCCGGGGAGAAAGCATTCCTAATAAGGGTATGAATAAATATCCCAAATAAGGTGTAAGGGTGTAAATAAATATCCAACCAAAGGTGGGGGGGGGGGATATATATCCCTAACAAGGTGTGAGAGTATACCTGAAGTAGACCCCTCAGGGTGTAAATAAATATCCAACCTAAGGTATGAGGGTGGACCCCTAATAAGGGTGTGAATAAATATTACTTTAAAAGAAAACAGAAAGGCCAAATAAGAAAAAAATAATCTATGAAAAACTTTTAAAAAAACGTAAAAAAAAATAAATAAATAAATGTCAAGGAAGAGAAAAAATAAAAACTCTACCAAAAGAAAAAAATAAATATCCCTTATTTTTAATCTTGATTCACTGGATATTCGTAATTATTGAATATAATATACTCTGTATATTAATGTGATATATGCAACCATATGAATATGATGACAACAATCGGAAATTTTCTTATATACTCCGCCAGGAGTCCTAAAATAATCCTAACATAAACATAAACATAAGAAATATTTTTCTGATGTACAATTACCGCGTATACAATAACCTTTTCTGAATATTTCATATTCAAATGGAGTACCCGTCTGCAAAGCATGTATAATCATATGGTAAGGTGAAGCGCGTCAGTTTATCTCCCTTCTATTCCTTACTCTTGCTCACGCACAAGAAGTCAGGAACCAATTTTTCAAAATTTACTTAATCCAATAAAATATTTTGGAACCTGATTTTCTCTTATAGTTTTCATAATTTGTTCTCTTAGCGTCCAGGCTGGAAGTTTTTTCCTTCCTTCCAACATTTTCTTGTCCTCTCCGCTCACACGCAATCTTTGCCAGGACTGCTTTAATCTCTCATTATCCTCTCGCCACTTAGACTCCTAGGTTAGTAAAAAAAAGTCAAAATATATTAAAATCTGCCAAAATCGGTAAAATAATGATCTTAGTGAGTAAAAAAGCTTTAATCTTATTCCCAATTCAGCTTGATTAATTTTTTTAAAATCCAGTTTTTTAAATTTTAACTTCATTGAATTTTGAACTTTATTTTGCCTGATTGCGCCGCTGACGGTCATTCAACACAACCTCTCTCCGCTTAGTTCGCTCTGGTCTATTTTTAAACAGTTATAGCAAATTTCTAATTTTTTAGAACTAATGCTAAAATATAACATGAACAAAATATGATGTATGTCATGTTAACTCTGTGTTCCATGCACTCCGGAAGGGGGCACTGGGCTGCCGGTAGGGGTGGTTACCTGGTAACACTTGTGATAATTGAAATTTCATTAAGTCATACTAATAATTTCTCTTCCTATACTTTAAAACATGTTTGATGAAAAGAATTTGATTTCTCTGTTATTTTTTTTAAGTTTCTGTCCATCCACAATCCACATACAAGAAAGAATCTTTTAAATGTACCAATTAATTTTCGCTTTATTTTTTTTAATAAATGTCTGATGAAGAGAATTTCGTTTATTTTTCTCGCAAAATTTTCGCATTATTTTTCGCATTTTTTCGCAAAATTTTCACATAATTTTTCGCATTTTTCGCGAAACATTTGCATTTTCGTTATTTTATTTTTCGCGAAACAGATTAAAGCGAAATTTCGCGAAAAAAACCAAAATTTTCGCCTTTTTCGCGAGAAAACGAAATGCGAAAAAATTAGAACATTTTCCTAATAAGGTGTGAGAGTATACCTGAAGTAGACCCCTCAGGGTGTAAATAAATATCCAACCTAAGGTATGAGAGTAGACCCCTAATAAGGGTGTGAATAAATATCCAACCTAAGGTGTGAGAGTAGACCCCTAATAAGGGTGTGAATAAATATCCAACCTAAGGTGTGAGGGTGGACCCCTAATAAAGATGTGATTAAATATCCAACCTAAGGTTTGAGAGTAGACCCCTAATAAGGGTGTGAATAAATAAATATCCAACCTAAGGTGTGAGGGTGGACCCCCAATAAGGGTGTGAATATCCTGAGGATTCTCTAGGATACTAACTAGAGAAAATACAGACGGAATTCCTTCTTCAGCTAGTATTTTAGATTCACTCATCAACCTGGACAGTGGACAACATTTATCTATTTTATCATAAAGGGTCTGAAAACATAATTTCAAGTGAAACACCACTTATTAAGACGCATTACAGATTCACAGCGTTGTTTGATCATAATTTGAATTACTTATCGATATTTTCAATTTTGAAAACTGATTATTTTCGGTTATGGGTTCTTTACTTTAGTGACTTGCGCATTTATACTGCACAAAAACAATGCAAGAATTATCACAATGAATCAAATTCAAGCTTGAAAAAACGACGATATCTTTCACATTATTGATCATATAAAGGTGTCAAGGGTATCTGAAAATTACAACGACAGTTCCTGAGGAAGAACAAGAAAGTACGATAACGTATGAGCTGTACTCTTCAGCCTTTTTAAGGCATTTTGACCCATTTTATAAGATCGAACTTATAGAAAACAACCCCGTCTCTCTTCCACGATGGGGGGGAGGTAGGGTGGAACCAAAAAAGTAACGGGTTTCATACTGTTTTAAGTGCTTACCAGATTTGTGTGGCGGTGATTATAAAAAAATGGTGTAGTTGCACTCCTCGCCATCTTTACCGCCCCCCCTGGTCCCCCGGTCCCCACCACACAAACTTTTATAGAATTTTTAAAAATCATCGAGAACCAATGTAATTTTTCATTAATTAATCGTATTTTTTTATTTTAAAGAGATTAATGTTTTCCTAGATGTTATCTGTATACAGTATTCCGTGGGAAACTTGGATAGTGGGGTTGTTATGAATACAAGACAGGGATCCTGAAAACAATTCAGTTAATATTTCAAAATGTAAATCTAGACAACAGACTTGTAAAGCTACAAATGCTACTTCTTAGGACATATCAGACCGTTTTGTCCATGGATACACTTGGGTGGCAAGGAGCGTGGACCCCACAACACAACCACCACAACCACAACCACAACCACAACCACAACCATAACAGTATGGGGGGTACTATTCAACTATCAATAAACCTCTGAATCAATCCCTTAAAAGATTAAGAAAAATATTTCAGCAGATTACAAACCTTTGGGTATCTTGATCCAGTAGGAAATCTGATTTCAAGAATAAATATTCTCTCCTCCTCATCTTCCTTTAGATGCTTATCTTCCTTCTCTGGCTGAAGATAAATACAGGGTGATTAGTGGCGTCTCGTGCAAAATTGTATATTTTTTGTGTAACTATACTGAATGTTATTTTTTCAATATTTTTTCAGAATTCTTTTTTTTGGGGGGTACAGAGCCCCCAAAAAAATCGGCGAAACTTTTTTCGTTCAAAATCAAAAGTTTAGAAAAGCAAAATAAAATTCTAAATTTTATAAATATTTTTGTTAAAAGACTTGGAAAATATGTAAGATAAAAATTCACAGTTAACAGGTTAAATTCATTTAAAATGCCCTCCATTGTTTTTGACACACTTTGCCGCTCTAATCCTTTATAGCTCGTAGAACGATACCAGGGTCCAAAGCGTGTACTTATTTTTGTATAACTTTATTTAAAAAATAAGACTAGAACTGAAAATTGCGAATTTTCATTTTACAATTTTGCGAATTTTCTGTGATTCTGAAATTCAATATTTATAAAATTTTGGAATTAAATAGAAATAATATACATACACATTTATGCTTTTTTGAACTTTATATTTTGAGAGAAAAAAAGTAGTTTCGCGGATTTTTTTTTATGGGGGCCATAAAAGTACCGAAAAAAAATTCCAAAAAATATTGAAAAAATACCATCCAAGAAAGTTGCAAAAGAAGTTACAATTTTGCACCAGACGCCACTAATCACACGTTTTTTTTTACTCATCCTGTATTTATAAAAATTGTTAAAATTTTGTGGTTTTAATTATATGTATAATTTGAATGAAAAAATTAAATTTTTTTAGCCTATGTCACCCCAGGCTACCAGAACCAATGAGTGTCCAGAAAAAATGTCAGCCCATTTGGTTCAGCAAACAATTTGTACAGCAATAAAATGGAAAAATAATCTGTGTTTAATTATTGTATACATTTATAAATATATATTTCCACATATTTTAGAAATATAAAATAAAATAATTTATTTTTACCTCAGCATGAATTTTGAAGCATTTTTTACCGTATTTACAGTGCCCGTTCAAGAAAAACCTAAAATATTTTGAAACGATTATNACACACACTGTAGATAATAGCGCCAAACGTCAGCAGCTGAACTCGGTCCATATCCACATTCAGTGTATATCAAACTATTATCGAGATTCACATCCTAAATCAGGGAAAATTTGAGTATTCAAACTCCTGTTTAATCTAAACTATTAATTTAGGATAAACTACAGCCTGAAAGAACATTGCCTTTAATCCTGTCAATTTCCAAGTTTAAAGAGCATCAAAATGTTATTTTATTTTGTATTTTAAAAACTAAGATATAATGTAAACCAGATTTTTATCGAGCATCTTAAAGTAAACTAATATTGGCACATGTTAAAAAATAAAACTGTAAACATTTAATGCTTAATTCCAAGCTCTCATGGTAAATAATGATCGTCATGTGGCAGATGATCAATTCATGGAGTTCTTGATTCTCCAAAAGAGGCTAGGGTTGTCTCACAAACACAAGCAGGTCATTAAACAGAACTTATTGAAATTTATTTATTTGAAGAAGATAATTGATGTTGAAACGTGGTTTTAACTAATAGATCGTTAGATGCAAAACAGTACTGATACGAAATATCTTTACCAGGGCTTCCTATCTACAGTTTGATCCTAAATTTTATGTTCACTCATCTACACCTTAGTAGTCAGTCAGCTTTAACAAAGATCTCACAGTGATCTAGAAGGATCTCACGGTGATCTACAGCACACAGCTAGTCTGGAAAACCTCCCAGGTATTGTTTAAATCTAACTTGTATTAAATGTTTAACAATAATTCCTTTTCAGACGTACTTCTGTCGCTCTTGAGGGATTGTATCAAGATCAACTCCAGAAGGTCAATACTTCTGACATTTTCATAATTATTCTTTAAAAGAATAAGATCGTTCCTGACCTGACTTTAAACTAATTCAGGAATATCCTGATCTACATGCAATCATTTTACAGAATCAAGGAAGAATTACAGTCCGCAGTGTTCACAGGACACACTTCCTCGTCAACCCACAGCCTAGACCGAAATATATTTTCAATAAATGTAGAACTAACATCTACTTTTTTTACTCTACAGAGGTTTGGTCCATCACCATCAGCGAATTTTAAACAAATATCCACAATGAAAACCAGTTGCGTATAGTTCTTTACATTCGCAGGAGAAATTATACTGACACACGGAGAACTTGAAACCTGATGAAACCCCAACAGAAGACATTTGGATCAGCGTGCGAAAAAACCAAAACCATCATCAAATGTAAGATTCATATTAGAAAGCTTGGGACACCATTGTATTTCGTAAAATTTTCTCATGTGCCTTTTGAAGCAGATGTTTTAAGCTTTTATAAAGTTCTCATATAACTCTTCAAATCCTTTTATCTGGTCGTAACATTTCACCAGAGATCACATTTTGAAATATTGGATTTAATGTATTTTGTCAAATAACTTTATCTGGTCACAACATTTTACCATTTATCAAATTTTATAAATATATCATGCTAATTATGTTTATATTTTCAGCTTTACAGCTTGTTGATGATAAAAAATAAACTCTAAAACTAAAGACTTGATTATTTCTGTGTATGGGGGGCGTATAAACGATACATTGGTTAAAAATACGTATTCACTTCTATTGTTATAACGCTGAAAATTAAATTGAGAAGCTAAAAAAGCTGAAAAGCGTATAACTTCAACATCTAAAATTCAACCATCTCGACAGGGCCAATGAATCCTCTGAGTCAAACGATTAAAATAATAAATGCCAACCAAGACCAATCAAAATTATTAGGAACAAAATTATTATGGGTGCTCTATTCTAATGAAAACCTGCAGAGTTCTTCCTGCTTGTAAACCCTCTTCTTTTCCTTGTGTTGACTGCCAGGAAGATATCTGTACAGGTAATCCAGGTCTAATCTAGAAAAGGGACTGATCATATATTTGGCTATGTAACAGGCAATACAAGGGACTGCTCATATATTTAGCTATGTAACAGGCAATACAAGGGACTGTTCATATATTTAGCTATGTAACAGGCAATACAAGGGACTGTTCATATATTTAGCTATGTAACAGGCAATACAAGGGACTGTTCATATATTTAGCTATGTAACAGGCAATACAAGGGACTGTTCATATATTTAGCTATGTAACAGGCAATACAAGGGACTGTTCATATATTTAGCTATGTAACAGGCAATACAAGGGACTGTTCATATATTTAGCTATGTAACAGGCAATACAAGGGACTGTTCATATATTTAGCTATGTAACAGGCAATACAAGGGACTGTTCATATATTTAGCTATGTAACAGGCAATACAAGGGACTGTTCATATATTTAGCTATGTAACAGGCAATACAAGGGACTGTTCATATATTTAGCTATGTAACAGGCAATACAAGGGACTGTTCATATATTTAGCTATGTAACAGGCAATACAAGGGACTGTTCATATATTTAGCTATGTAACAGGCAATACAAGGGACTGTTCATATATTTAGCTATGTAACAGGCAATACAAGGGACTGTTCATATATTTAGCTATGTAACAGGCAATACAAGGGACTGTTCATATATTTAGCTATGTAACAGGCAATACAAGGGACTNCCCCCCCCCCCCCCGTACACCCTTGCAATCATCTCTGAATTGTTCAGAAATTGGCCCATCTAACATCTCAGAACAAAACCCTTTAGCTTATAACTTAAAATTTCCCTTTCATATTTGACATTTAAACTTTGTTTTACAGGATCTTATATTTTGATTTTGGTTTCAACAGTAACTCTGACATTAATACCTAAAATGGTCATCCTAGAGTTTGTCGAGAAAAAAATTAACGAAAAAAATTAACAATTTGATCCTGTTGAACATTGGATTTCCTTGTTCATGTTGTTTTTTCATAAAAATTCAAACTAGAAAATATTATAAATAATTTTAAATCACTAAAAAAATATTAAAAACTTCATAAAAAGTTGGATATTACGAAAAACTGTAATCTTTTGTAAAACTTTGAGAGGGCGGACTGGCCTCCTTCAAGAGTATGGTGTAAAGGAGCACCGGCTCCCATACCTTTATCTATCAGTTGATAAATTTCTAACTGAGAAATCACCGTGTTACCTAAGTTCCCAGACCTTTTCGGGTATTTTTTCCGTGAAAGCAGGACCATAAATTGATTCTAGCGCCATTTTTTCATCATTCTTTAGTTCATGCAGTTCACGGGTATCACAGTCGGGTTCCTAAACAATATGATAGTAAACCATATTCATAAAAAGTGATATTTTCTTAGATCTCAAATACTACCCCCCACTCCCACTGGCCACACCTCAAGTTGAAAATGTAAAATTTTATATTATATTGACCTAACCTTACCCAAAATGTAGGTGTACATTTTTCAATCTATGGGGTTTTGAGATAAATCATTAAGAAATAATTTTATATGAAAAACTGAAAATGTTCAATATCATGGGTTGGATTCCCTTTACAGGGTGGAATACTTTCTTTAATCTACTTTTCCAAGAGTTCCAACGAAAAATATCCTGATATATTAAATTTTTCGTTAATTTTTTTATATTTTCATACTATTCGTTGTTTTATTTTTATGCTTAAGACAAAAGTGTATTTAACATAATACACAATAATGGAATTAAATATAAATAGAATATAAAAATATATCTATATAATAAAACAAGATATTCATATATATGTTCCTTTATAGCAGCCCAAACGGCTGGACCGAATGGGCTGAAAGTTGTGGACACTCACTTTCTTCATTGTACATTGTACAAGTCCCGAGAAAATTGGTAAATTTGGACATTTTCAAAATTACAACAATTCGGGGGAAAAGTTCTAGAATCCCAACGGCCATAAACCTTCAAGGCCAGATTGGTTTAACCATTGTGATTTTTATTAGATTTTCACAATCCAACAAACAGCCGATCCAAACAAATCAATTACCTGTTGTTTATCACTTGAGACGATCTCCCCAGGAGAATGATCGTTCGTCGGTTCCTCAGATCTTCTAGACAATCATAATATTATTACATTTAAGGAAATTTTAAAGCAAGTTTTAAGAAAAATTTCTTTCTTTCTCTACATTAACCCCATCCTTTCCTTTTCTACGTTTACCCTATCTTTTCGTTTTCTACATTAACCCCATCCTTTCCTTTTCTACATTAACCCTATCTTTTCCTTTCTACATTAACCCTATCCTTTCCTTTTCTACATTAACTCCATCCTTTCCTTTTCTACATTAACCCTATCCTTTACTTTAAAATTGTAAACAAATTTTGCGATTTTTTATGCATAGGTAGGTTGGAGGACAGTCAAACAGCGGATAGGTGTTTAAAAAGACAGAAATGGGTAATATTTTTTAAAATTAAAAGGACTGTTCACGAAAAATGAAAGGGGGTATAGGTTTACGGCGAAAAATAAGCGCTTTTGATCGGTACTAATCTTACTTCTATCTGTTGCGTCTATAAGGAGAAAATTGTTAAAACTACTCATAAAAAAGAACGCAGCGTCAATACAAATTCGGAAAGATGCAACATTCAACTCGGATCGTAGACAAATCAATTTAATTCCAAACAAATCATTCAGATATTACAAACAATAGTCATCGATTATTTTTCGACGCATTCTTAAATAGTTGATATTTTTCATGATCTGACAGTTACTTTGGAAAACATCTATTCCTGTTTCGAGAATTTTTGATAATAAAGACGACATTTTCATATTTTTCAGAAATGTTCGAAAATCCAGCGTCAGCTAAAATTATTTATAAAAAACAAAATCAAAAATATTATGAAATATTAACTATATACGAATGCGTCGAGGGCTAGAGATTTATATATTTAAAAAACCCTTAAAAATGGATAAGAATCTCCATTGGTACGTAAGTACGCATCTATCTCAACTCTCAGGGCAAAATCATTGGGGTGGGGAGGGGGGATAACAACCCCTTAACTCCAATTTAATAGACAAAAATAGCCCGATCGGGATAGAGTTAACATTTTCAGCTGTAATATCAACCTGATGTTAAAAGCTTGTACTAGAAGGTGTTCAGTAGCAGCTCCTACATCACCATCAGTACTCACCAGTGCATCCTTGCATCGGGAACTTAAAAAAACATCATTCAAAGGGACTTTTAGCGTAAATTTAGGTGAATCTCATGCAAAGATGGCAATGCCCTATTCCCAACGATACTCGTAAAAGCGTTGTCTGATTAAGTATGAAATAAATATCAATGTTTATAATTTTGAAAGATGATTATTTTCAATTTTGGTTTCCCTACAAAATTGATTTCCACAGTAAACTTCTATAGGAATAAAAACATAAAAAAACAGCTTTGCCTGAATGAAAACTGTCTCATTTAAAGTCATATCACTAAATTTAAAATTTTTAAACCAAGCTAAAAATTCCCATAGTTCTTCCGAGTTTCCAAATCAAAATTTTAGTCAAATGGGTGAAAGAGTTCATGGGCCTTATAGATAATGTGTGAAATAAAATCTATACTACCTATGAAAGCCTAGACTTGAAAGTCTTTTAAGTCCCCAACTTGAGATAGAGTTTTGTGTTTTCTCCTCATCGTCTTCAACCTTGAAAAAATGATTTTAAATGTCCCATAAAAAAGTTCTTTACCTAACTTTCCTTTCCTTTTCCTTTGATTTATATTTTTATATTTTTTTTTAGAATTGGGAGGAAATATTCCCACAACCTCATCTTTGGAGGTTTTAAAATATTTTCTCCTGAAACACCTAATTTTGTATGTTTTTGTTATATTTCATAAATAAATAAAAAATAATTACTTACTAGACTTAAGTCCTATACCTGCCTAAAGTCCTATATCTGCCTGAAGTCCTATATCTGCCTAAAGTCCTATTCCTGCCTACAGTCCTATACTTAAAGTCCTATACCTATAGTCCTATAACTTCCTAAAGTCCTATACCTATAGTTCTATAACTGCCTAAAGTTCTAAAAAAAAGTCCTATAGCTGACATAAGTCCTATGCCTGCCTACAGTCCTATACCAGCCTAAAGTCCTATATACCTATAGTCCTATACCTGCCTAAAGTTCTAAAAAAAGTTCTATACTTGACTTAAGTCCTAAACCTGCCTAAAGTCCTATAGCTGACATAAGTCCTATGCCTGCCTACAGTCCTAAATACCTGCCTATGCCTATGCCTGCCTTAAGTCATATACCTATAGTCCTATAACTGCCTAAAGTTCTAAAAAAAGGCCTAAAGTTCTAAAAAAAAGTCCTAAACCTCAAAAAAGCCCTAAACCTGGCTTAAATCCTATACTTGACTAAAGTCCTATACCTGACTTAAGTCCTATACCTGAATGAAGTCCTATACCTGACTTTAGTCCTATACCTGACTTAAGTCCTATACCTGACTTAAGTCCTATACTTGACTAAAGTCCTATACCTGACTTAAGTCCTATACCTGACTGAAGTCCTATACCTGACTTTAGTCCTATACCTGACTTTAGTTCTATACCTGACTTAAGTCCTATACCTGACTTAAGTCCTATACTTGACTAAAGTCCTATACCTGACTTAAGTCCTATACCTGGCTAAAGTCCTGAACCCCTCTGATGAGAAGTCTGTTGTCTTTGACCCAATAAGAGTTGTCCAGACGTCTGTTTGTATCTTTATATTGATGGGAAGAAAACCTAAATCCTTCTCCTTTTATCTAAATTAAATTCATAAATAAACTTTCAAGAAAAAAAAATAAACAAATTTGGTGAGTTCTAATTCATCATCATGATATACAAGTCGATGATATTTTTAGAACCCCCCCCCCCCTTCCAAAAAAAAGGTAATCATTTCCTCAAAAAAAGTTATTATTCCCCAATAATAAAAAAAAAAACATTTTATTGTACCTTGAATAATGTTGCTTTAGCAATATCCTGAACCTCCTGGGACATGTGAAGTCTCTGCATTTCAACCTAGATATTTTTAAATCAATAACAAATAAATCAATCAACTAATCAATCAAATAAATAAAAAAAATTCAGGTAATAAATCAATTTATGTGAAATTATTCAATAAATCAATCACTATACTAACCCTATCGACCTTTGACAGATGTTTTTATTATTTGAGTTGAAATTAAGAAAACGTTTAAATTATTTTTACTAACACTGATGTAGGATTATTTTATTTAATACCTTAAATCTATCCTTCTCTTTGTATTCCTCCTCTTCAATCTGATGTGTTGGAGCAACCTCAAAATCATCTCCATCATCCCACACAGATGCTCCACCCTTCCGACCTCCTCCTCCACCTTGGGGCCCAGCAGGTCTTCCACCTCCTCGACCTCCACCACCAGGAGGTCCTGGACCCCCTCTTCCGGCACCAGGTGGTCCTTGACCCCCTCGTCCACCACCAGTAGGTCCTGGGCCACCTCTTCCACCACCAGGAGGTCCCGCACCCCCACCTCCTCTAAGAATTGTTAGCATCAATATTTCAGTAATTTTAGTTACAGTGTACACATTGTCCATTTACAACATACACATTTTTGTGGGACCCACAGAACTGTCGAAAAGGAAGACAACTGTAAGACTCAAGTTATAATCTAAAAAATGTATAGCACGTGAATTGTGCAGTGTACACTGTACAGTATATACATGGACCCAATTCATTTTAGTGTTTTGGTTACTGTAAATCTTTTTTGTGTATCACATGAGGGGTGGAAGGCCACATTCTCCTCATTTTCTCGTCTGAGTCACTTCGAAATCCTCGTACTTCCGATATTATTTTTAAAGTGTCTAATCCTCCCAGATAAAACTTTTTATTAAGAATCGGACCAACATGATGTAAGCATTGCAATACTTAAGTTTATTTATGCCCTTACGTGGCCAGATTAAAAATAAATAGTTTCATCTTCGAGAATTTGAAACTTTAAAACACATAATAATCTAGGAACGAGGCTTCCGAGGTGGCTCGGAAGAAAAAATGAGGAGAATTTGGCTCGGACGAGAAATTGTTGTGGCTGGCCTTCCTCCCCTCATCATATAGCGGAAACAAGTGCACAGAACAATAAATAAAAAATGTATCCTAAAATGTTAAGTTGCAATATATTTAAACGTCAAACTAAAGATTTTTTCTATATTTTCACAGTTTTAGCTAAATTTATTATTTACTTCTCAGAACAAAAAAAAATAAAAAATTTAATTAACAATCTTAACTGTTGACAAACAATCAACACATGCATTTAATTTCGATTAAAAATCACTTGTTCGATGTCAATCAAAACTTTAAAAAAGGACGCTTTATTATTTTTAAGAAACTGAAAAACTCGAGCATTTCCTTTTCTGAATTATCTGCAACTTTCTTTATTCGTTGTTCAGTAGATAAAAATGAAAATGGCTGATTTCACCTATTGCCTCTTCCCCCTCCTCTATTTGGCCGACCAGTAACACGCTTCGTTGAGTTCATATTATTCTGAAATATCTACTTAGGACTACAAGTTTCTAGCTTTATTTACTTTATTAACATTATATTATACATATTAATATCAGATTTACTAAACATCTAAAGATTTCATAATTCATAAATTTTAACGAACAAGTTCAAACAAAGATAAATATTATTTTCAGTGTTTTGTTTTTTCAAATTTCACGAAATGTTTTTATTGAGCTGGGGGTAAAAATAAGACATCAAAGGGTAAGTTATGTCATTTTAAGATATTTTTGAAAGCAAAAAACTTAATTTTTCTCCTTACTATCATAAAACCCCCCAATTTGAAAAACTCAAAGAAATTTTAACATAATTTTAAAAATGGAGGGGGGGGGATTTAGACAAAATATACAATATACATCCCTGCATTTTATACAAAACTGAAATAGTTTTTAAAACTAAGATTCGTCAATTTAAGATGGATAAAGATAAAAGGAATTCAAATTTTATTTTACCTTCAGATAAAAGCTAATGACAATTAATAAACATTATTAACAAGAATCGATACAGTATACAAGTATAACTAGGGGCGTGCACAGTGTTGTTAATTGGATTGAGATGTGTTGTTTATTTAAATTCCTAACCCAGTGTGCACGTCTATATAGAATATACATCACAATAAAATTAACAATTTTGATAAATTTAAAGTCAGATCCTTTGTTCATGAAAAAATATTTTAAGTGACTCTTAATTTGAGAAGTGTCATTATTGATTCACATCTTCAATCTTTATCTAGAGAAAAGTGAGACATAAAGATTTCCTTTTGTGGATTTTTAAAATTACAGAGAAACTGTCACAAAGTCTTTAAAGGTGGTTGAACTGAATATAAAGTACTGTGGACAAAATTTATTAAGATTTACTTGAGACATATTAGATGTTTTTACGACGTACATTTACTAAGTTTGAGAGCAAAGTCGACGTTCATAATCATGAATTTGGGTGGGTACGTTTTCAGAATCTGTTTTTAAAACTATTAAATACGGCGACAAAAATTTAAACAAAATTCTACAATAAATTGATAAGTTGTTTATATTATATTCAATTATTAGTTTCTATAATCTCTCATTATTCACAAAGATTTTCTGCAGATGTTTCGGAATTTTTATTGAAAAGACGACATTTGAAGAAAATATGTTCTAGTTACTGTATGATTTGTACTTTATTTTTCTTCATCGTTATTTAATAATTTAAAAAAAAACGATTCTGTGAACATACCCACCCTGATTCATGATTTTGAACGTCGACTTTGCACTTAAACACAGTAATTATATATTTTGGAAACTTTTCATGTGTCTCAAATGAATCCTAATACAATCCACAATACTGCATACTCAGTTCAACCACCATACATTGCCAGTCACTCCCTTTAAAAAGAAATTTATGGATATCTGGAGAGGTGTCAAAGAAGTAGAAAACTTTACATTTTACGCCATACTTTCCCGAGCAATGGTTGAAATGGAAATGATGCGAATAAAAACGAACTTAATGAAAAATCATTTAAAGTTACTTTAACAATATCTTTGATATTCATTACATTTTAGTAAAAAAAAAAAAACTATCACTAGTATATAGGTATTTTTCACTGGGTTGATTCAACATTCAAGCTTCACCCCCAGGGTTTTTATCATCATTCTTTTCAAAGTACTTAAAAAAAAACATTTAAAATAAAATGTTTAAACAAATCAGAAAATTGATTTTTTTCTATAGATTGAATATTTATTTCAAAATTGTCATTGTCCGTGAAAAATAATAGGGGGGCTGGGATTCCTGGATATAATCCCCTGTACACTGTACAGTACAGCTGTTAATCAGTCACAGTTTAGTTTGAGCAATTCAAAATACTTAATACTTTTGAGATTTATCACCTCCTACTAATTTATTAAGGAACTATTGTCTATTAAATAAAAAATGTCTCACCGAATTTAGTAAATAAATTAAAAATGGTATGATCCGTGTTGTATCTCAACATGAAGGTCATGAAATATTTTAATATTAATAGGATTGTTAGTTAGTAAAATTCTGCAATTAAATTATAACAATCATGTTGGAAGAAATGAGTTATTAATTCATTTTAATTTTTTTTACTCAACCTCCGAATCCGTTGAACTAAGAAAAACTACCGGTCTAAAGTAGAAGTATAAAATTTTCTAATTTTGAGAGCATTTTAACCCGTTTCTGATCAAAAACAATATAAGATAATTTCAACACTGTTTTTTCTTCTTTTTGTAAAATAATATCGCAAGACAATATTTTAATAAAAATCATGTGCAAAGCAAAAAAAGGGAAGAATGCAAGAAAAAAATATTGCAGGAAGCGTAAAAAACTTATAGTTTCTTGTTGATAGTTGATTTTATCTTTAGGGAGTAGTGTAAAAAGAGGCGGAAAGTTTTCACATACACAAGTAAATGATAATACTAATAATTCGAGACTAATAAAACAACAAAAACTTGTATTTACAGCCTAAAATTTTTAGATTGCCGTGCAGGAGTTTTGAGTGTTTGTGAGTTTGGAAGATGTCTAGAAAAAAATCAACTAAAAATCAACTGAAATAACCAAAGCCTAGCGGCATTTTAAAAATTGTGCAATAAAAATGTTGAAATATGTGCGTATATGATGTATTAATTAGAACAGTTGACTTGATATTTAATATTCCCTATTATTCCCTTCTTTGAAATTATTTTCATGATTTTCTTGAAAACTGTTATTGAGTGATTCTATAATAAGTTCTTTGTGTTTGGTTGGCCGAGGTTTCATGGGTTCTATTTTCCTCTTAAACCCAGGGATTCGTCAATCCTTCTTCTCCTCCTTTTCTCCGGGGTTCTTGGTCTTCGTCGAGTACATTTCTTTTATATCCTCGAATGTCATATCGCACAAGGGAACCCCAAGAGCAGTGGCCATAACCTGTTAAATAAATCTTAATGAGTTTAATCATCAACACTGACTATACTGGTTGGTCAGAGGTCACACTATAATGACAGGAATAAGGGGGAAAAAGTGCAACATTTTAACAATTTTACAAATAAATACAACTGAAGAATAACATAATTTTTAAATTAGTAAAAATTGCATTTTTTCTAATAAAGGGGGGATGCGCCCCCCCCCCCGGCATGTTGGAAAGATACTGTTGAGATATGTAATCCAAACTGGTCTAATTTGATCACACATCAGCATCAGCATCAAACGTTTGATTACAAGTAATTGCAACAAAAATTTTCAAACAGTTAAAAAACATTTTTTACGCAGTTTAAAAAGCACATTTTACGCACAAGACAAGCCCAGCTCAGTCAAGAATGGCCGTATTAAATTTTTTGTGAAAAAATGGAAACTTTAATTGATTAGCGCATCTTTTTTTCCACAAATTATTTAATTATCATTTAAACTTGTCAAATTCCGCAATATGTTGGCGAACTTGAGTATCACTGTCTTCGCCAAAAGTGACACTAAATGTGAACAATGAACATCCCAACTGGTCAACCAAATACAGAAAGATCAGTGCAATTAGCAAAAACTGAAGTAGGTTAAAATTTAATTAATTAGATTTTAATTCTAATTATTTAGAAACAGAGTTCGGAATTAGTGTGTGGAAAACCGTTAATCTCGATATATAATGTGGACACATTTAAATTTGATAATGCCCTCACTTACCTTATGACCATCACAGGCAGTACTTAGGATCCATTTAATTTTGATGCGGATCCGGATCCTGGATCCGCACTGGAAAAAAATGGATTCGGATCCGGATCATTTCTGGTCATTTCTGTAAGATTTACTGAATTTTTTATTTTATTTTTTCGCTTATTTTTATCATAAAACTTGATGAACCATCAGAAATGAGGAAATTTTTTATAATCTCTCTTTCAAAAGTTCAGAATTGGTTTTTTTTTGCAGTTTTGGTTGATATTTTACCCCTTGGATCCGGATCCTAAGCACTGATCACAGGATATCAAATAGGAATTATGTTAAATCGCAGGTCTGGATAAGATGGAGAATAGAGATCAATGTTTGATCCCGAAATTCACAATGCCAAAATTCTGCCTTCAAGTATAATTTCATTAATACTAATACATAGAACCAACCTGTCTCACGTTCTCTGCAAATAGTCTGGGATCATTCCTCTCTTCCTCCGATGGTGTATAGGGGTCTAACCAAACCAAAATAAGAATAATAAATAAGAATTCATATATTTAGGGGTTCATGGTTGAAAGTTATAAATAAATTTGTATTATTCCCTATCATACATCTATGGTAATGTAAAAAAATATTTCATAGCTCTTTAAAAAAAAACTATAAAATCTTATATAAAATTTTCCAACGGCAATAAATACAAAGTGTTAAATGGTGTCGTGAACTGGGCTTACAACTCTTTAATTCAACAATGGTCAGTTTGATTCCTAGGAAGTGAAGTTCAACTCTATTATTCCACTGGCAGCAGGTCCATAGGAAACACGACATAAACCCGTGGGGTTGGTCCCAGGTCCAGCTTACTGTATCATGGTGGTTCTAAATATAGTCCATAATATATCTAGGGTTGGTCCCAGGTTCAGCTAACTGTATCATGGTGGTTCTAAATATAGTCCATAATATATCTAGGGTTGGTCTCAGGTTCAGCTAACTGTATCATGGTGGTTCTAAATATAGTCCATAATATATCTAGGGTTGGTCCCGGGTCCAGCTAACTGTATCATGGTGATTCTAAAAATAGTCCATAATATATCCAGGGGTTGGTCCCGGGTCCAGCTAACTGTATCATTGTGGTTCTAAATATAGTCCACAATATATCCAGGGGGCTGATCCCGGGTCAATAACTGTATCATGGCGGTTCTAATCTGAATAGTCCATAATATATCCAGGGTTGGTCCCGGGTCAATAACTGTATCATGATGGTTCTAAATATAGTCCAGAATATATAAAGGGGGTTGGTCTCAGGTCAAGCTTTTTAAACAAAGGAAATTGAAAAATAAGCTTTTATAACCTAATAAAGTAAATACATTGTCAGCAAAAGTAAAAACTTTTTCCCCCGTAAATTATTAAGAAAAAAGGTGTTATAAATTCCTGGTTTATATTATATATTCATGTTTATTGCTAACGCCTTATTTTTACTTTAAATGAAATGAACGGTTGAAGTTAGATCAGAACAACTAATGGGACAATAAGGGGGCCAAAAGTTGAGGTTAGGACAAGTCAGGGGCCACATACAATAAGAGGGCCAAGAGTTGAGGTTAGGACAAGCCAGGGACCACATACAACGGGACAATAAGGGGGCCAAGAGTTGAAGTTAGGACAAGCCAAGGGCCACATACAAAGGGACAATAAGGGGGCCAAGAGTTGAGGTTAGGACAAGCCAAGGGCCACATACAAAGGGACAATAAGGGGGCCAAGAGTTGAGGTTTGGACAAGTCAGGGGCCACATACAATAAGGGGGCAAAGAGTTGAGGTTAGGACAAGCTAGGGACCACATACAACGGGACAAAAAGGGGGCCAAGAGTTGAGGTTAGGACAAGCCAGGGGCGGTTTAAATTGCACCCTGCGACCGACGGGTTTCCCGACGCTCTAGCACCCTCCAAAGTGAAGCGAGCCGGCCACATGCAACGGGACAATAAAGGGTCCAAGAGTTGAGGTTAGAACAAGCCAGGGGCCACATACAATGGGACAATAAGGGGGCCAAGAGTTGAGGTTAGGACAAGCCAGGGGCCACATACAATGGGACAATAAGGGGGCCAGGAGTTGAGGTTAGAACAAGCCAGGGGCCACATACAATGGGACAATAAGGGGGCCAAGAGTTAAGGTTAGGACAAGCCAGGGGCCACATATAATGACCAATTTGAAGTGTACACGCATATTTTTCATTTTGAGGGTGCAATGGGGATCTCCGAATATTTCCCCCAAAAATTAGCAAAAACTGGAAACAATCCGGACTGTTAAGAATTTTAAACTGATAAGAAGCTTCACGAATGATACATTTATAATTAATTGACTGAAATTATGCTTACTTTGTACTTGATCAGCAAGGGTTGTATTGTTTTTCCGGGTAGAAAACCACCTGGCTTAAAGGTCATCAGAGCTTTCCTAATCAAATCATTTAATTAAATCTAAAGATAATAAGGAACCAACCTGATACTAGTTGTTCCTTCAGGAGTATCAGAAGAAAGACCTTGAAATACCCCCCCCCCCCCTCCATCCCGAGGTTGGTTCCATTAAGGAAAATAAGGATCCTCACTGTTACATGTTTTCCCCTCAGGGAAAGAAGGATTAAGAAACCCACCTATTACTAGTTGTTCCTTCAGGGAAAATAAGGAACTGTTCCCAAGGATCGTTCGACTGGCAACGTCTGTTTATCTCATCTTTGGTCTTCTGTCGATCATTTCGATCCTCCCTATTAAATAAATATGAAGTTGGCATTTTCTACTTTCCAAATTTTTCTTTTTTTTGATATAAAATGACGGGCAAACAAATAAAACACCCTTTTAAGATTTCCATATTGTTTTCAGTTCTCCCGATATGTAATTATACAATAATCACATATTTAAAGGGACTGTTAACTTAATTTATAGCGAGTCTTCAAATACAGAGTTAAAATGATTGATTAATTCCCATAAACATTTCTTCCTCATTGTTCCTCACAACGATGAATCATTATGAACATTATGAATCAAGCAAAATTCACGGTTTCACAAAAAATGTTCTTTAAAATATGTAATTGTAAAAGATTTGAATATGCTTCGTAGCAGGGTAATCGTAATTGTTGATTTAACAATATAATTTATGTAAGACATGATCTAAACAATACTTGTATAAAACAATTCACCTTTTGACATGAATGGCCTGAGCGAACTGAATACATTTCCCGATAAATGGGATTTCCTGACATCATCATCTTTACATATGAATACTAGTAAATATAAGTATAATAGAAACAATAATACAAGGTCTTTTTTTTCAAAATTATTTAATTAATACATGTAAAGTTTTTATCTCTGTTTGTCTGTTTGTTTGTCCAATCATAACTCAGGAACCCCCAGGACCGTTTTAGATTAGGGATCCCAGGAGAGCCACAGGAGTGTTCTTGGCTTGATTTTGAGGTTTTAAGTTGAAAATTTAGTTTCGGCCGGTAAATATCAACTAAGTGGAGGTAAACAGCAACTGTAAATATAAGCACCTTGGGCAACACAAAACGCTGCAGGATTACCAAGCTAGTTAATGATATAATGATAGTGTATGTAATATGTATGTAAATGATTCCTTATTATCTTCTCTACTAACGAAGAAGGGCAGAGGGGGGGGATTCCATTTTTAACCCCTGGAGAAACCTATATTTATGATATTTTGATTAATATGACTAATATGTATGTAATAGATACCTTATTTTCTTCTCTACTAACGAAGAAGGGGGAGGGAGGTGGGGGAAATTCCATGTTTAACCTCTAGAGAAACCTATATTTATGATATTTTGATTAATATGTCTAATATGTATGTAATAGATGTCTTATTATCTTCTCTACTAAGGAAGAAGGGAGAGGGAGGTGGGGGGAATTCCATTTATAACCCCTTAGGGAAACCTATATTTATGACATTTTGATTAATATGTCTAATAGTATGTAATAGATTCCTTATTTTCTTCTCTACTAACGAAGAAGGGTAGACCAGACCAGAATATTGCCAGAGCATCAAAGAATGAAGAGTGAGGAGCAGCGACTAAAATGAAAAATATATTTCCTTATCAAAGGGACTGTGAACGTAATTTTAAGTGACACTCCATTCAAAAATTGCAAAGCCCGATTCACAAGAGTGTCCTTGAAACCTTTATGTGATCAATAATTAGAATGATGTTGTCGTTCTTATAGATTTAAATGTGTTGTTTTTATGATAATTCCAAAATATGTTAAAAGGCTTACATTCCAAACTTATAAAAGCATATTATATTAACAACAGTACAGTTATAGCCATGTCTGATTAAGAATTATTATTTATCTTCTCTTTTTAAACACTTTTTAGGCTAACAAAACCATCATATCTTCCAAATTATTGAAGAAATAAGTCAATTGAAATTATTTTACAGTCCCTTTAATACAAAATATTACCTATAACAGGTGCAATATCTTTGTGTGCTTTTGTGCCAATAATATCAACATTGTGGAATCCAACACAGCGTACACAGACTCGGCCCAGGCTACAGGACATCATCTATACAACATATTATTATTATTATTATTCAACCTACAGGACATCATCTATACAACATATTATTATTATTATTATTATTATTCAACATACAGTCAATGTATGGTCGTATCATGTCCTGTAGGCTATGTTACGTTGAGCTCCAGGGTTAAGCTCCATACCACTCCCCCAAGTCAGCTTGGGTTAGTGAGTCATCCGACTTTGTATGTTTATCGGATTCATGAGTACGTCAAATATGTTAGGAGACATTAAAATGCCGTTGACTGTCTAAATAATTTTAATTGTACCCACATCTACATGCAGATGCCAAGTCATTATGATCAGGTTCCGCAAAATTTCAGCTCCCTGGATCCGGACCCAATGATTCGGCCGGATCCAAATGGTAAACTATCAACCAAATCAAAACTAAAAACATTTTGCTCTCTCAAGTGTAAAACAAATAATATCAATTGGAAATTTGTACATATTCTTCCTATTAGCATTAAATTTTGTTAACATTAAAAGCTCAAAATTTGTTTATAGTTTCTTTTGTGTGTTCACACATGTCCTCTGTACATTGCACATGCACAAACAAACATTATCATTAATAAATGCATGATTCTTGATATCAAAATTACACAAATTGACTAAATTTGTAGAATGAAGATGCTGAAAATCATGAATGTATTTGTATAAGCACAAACATGGGCCAAGGTGTACAAGTGTACAAAAGTGTGTACCAACTTTTACATGTCTAAACTTGTACAATGTGCAACATACGGACATAAGAAAAATAAGAGGTTTTTACATTACCTTGAGACACTTTCTCCAGCCCTGCAGAGGTTTAGATAAATCCATTCCTAGTAGTCCTATACTTGATACTATCCAGGCTAAAACTTAATATAGGTTTAGATAAATCCATTCCTAGTAGTCCTATACTTGATACTATCCAGGCTAAAACTAAATATAGGTTTAGATAAATCCATTTCTAGTAGTCCTATACTTGATACTATCCAGGCTAAAACTAAATATAGGTTTTGGTAAATCCATTCTTAGCAGTAAAAGTAAAAATATACTTTAAGAGACATATATTAGCTTTTCCAACTTCCCAATCCTCAAAATTCCATCCAATCCCCTTTGTTTTAGATTTAAAAACGAGAAAGAGACAAACTTATTTAAATTCCTAATCTTATAATCTTAAGACATTTCAAACTTCAGGAGAATTCGTAGTTTGGCATAAAGATGCAAAGGATTAGAAAATTTAAATTTGAGGAAAATTATAACTTCCTTTAACGATATTTTAGCCAGGAAAAAATAAGAAAAAAATCGAAAATAAAGGAAATACAAAATCTTGTTAGGAAACTATAGGTCGGATTTTATAAATAGCAAAGTAGTTGAACTAGAATCTAGATAAGACTAGTTGAGCTACTTCTCTAGTGCACTTTCTGCTACTGAAAGGGACTATAAGCATAATTTCAAGTGACTCTCCATGCAAAGATTGCAATGCCAGATTTACAACTGTATACTCGATACCTTAATCTGATCAAGAATGAACTAGATATAAACGTTTTTGTTTATTTCAACTATTTAATTTCATTTGTGGTTTCTCTGCAAAAGTGACTTGCACAGTGCTTATTTATAAGAAGCAAGGGATCAACTTGAAAAAATAAACACTTTTCGAGTCAGAACATTTATGATCAGATAAAGGTTTCAAGAGTACTGCTGTAAATCTGGAATGGCCATTCTTGCATGGAGGGGCACTTGAAATTAAACTTACAGCCCCTTAAACATTTGCTACTAGTTCAACTACTAAACACTTTTCGAGTCAGAACATTTATGATCAGATATAGGTTTCAAGAGTACTGCTGTAAATCTGGAATGGCCATCCTTGCATGGAGGGGCACATACAGCCCCTTAAACATTTGCTACTAGTTCAACTAGTACTAAACACTTAATTACTGTAAAGTGATATACCTAAGGAAACGAGTCCCACTACTAATCTGATAGGTAGTAGGGTACAGAAGCATAAAACCATCTGTACAACCTCCCAACTTGAGAACTGTACACGGACACGGAACGGAGAATTCTCCTATAAATAACAATAACAATAACAATTACAATAACAATAACAATAACAATAACATTAACATTAACATTAACATTAACATTAACATTAACATTAACATTAACATTAGCATTAACATTAACATTAACATTAACATTAACATTAACATTAACATTAACATTAACATTAACATTAACATTAACATTAACATTAACATTAACATTAACATAAAATAACAATAACAATAACAAACAATAACAATAACAATAACAATAACAATAACAATAACAATAACAATAACAATAACAATAACAATAACAATAACAATAACAATAACAATAACAATAACAATAACAATAATAATAACAATAACAATAACAATAATAACAATTTCAAGATTAATATTGGCATCAATAACAACAACAACGACATCTTAAAAATTACGACAATTAAATTCAATTCAATTCATTTCAAGATGCTAAGGAAGTTTCGTGGGCTCCTTAATCTAACAACAACAACAACTAAAACAATAACAATGACAGTATCAATATCAAGTTAAATAGAACTTATCAATAACAATAACAACAACTTAAACAATAACAAAATTAATAACACTATCAAACTAACAAAGCTAAAATACCAAAACCAATACAGGGATATAAATATATTTGCTGAAAAAACAGCCTCCCCTCCCCCATCTTCCCCCTTCCTTGATAATAATTTTGTCTGATATTTATACTTATAGGTACGTTTTAATTCTTTGGCGGTTTTATTCCTGAAATTTGGAAAATTGTCCATTTCAGGGGGAAAAAATTTGATTATTACAAATAACAATGACACTTTAAATGGCATAACAATTAAAAATATTAATGAAAAATATCAATTTATGAATAAACATACAGAGTTGGCATAAACATATACATTTATATATAAAAATTGATTCTGGATAATAAAATAAGGACACAGGGAACTCAATACACCTTGTATGTGTTGCCGCACTCCTCCCCCCCCCAAAAAAAAAAAAAAAGGATAAGATGATTGATTATATTGATAAACTTACCTCCGTAAAGTTTTCTGGTTTTAACCTCTCAACCATTTTAAGTCTGATCGATTAATTTCAAGTTTTTTTAAAAACAAAATTGATTTAAATCAAAAGTATAATTAGAAATAATAGCGGTGACATGGGTATTTTTCTCGTTTGTATTAGTTCTGAATTTGTATTTTTTCACAAAAAGAGGATATTCTGTATAATAAAACAAGACATTCATATATATGTTTCATTAAATTTATTAATTTTATTATTATGGCATTGAATGACAGAGATGTATATTTTCTCCAAAAAATATTTTCTTTTCCCCCCTCAAAAGTTTTTTTACAATATATATTTATAATGTATCGCAGAGCACCAAAACTTTTTTAGGGGTTATTCACTGACTTAGGGAAAATAAATGATTTTTAGGAGGACATCAATGAATTTGTCGGTAAAAGCGTCAAAAAGAAAAGAAAAAGTTGCCTTTAGATGTCCAATTATTCCAAGGGTGAGGGGGGAAAGGGGTGTCATTCTGACAGATATTCACCCTAGTTGAAAGACCTTGGTGAAATTGGTACTTTTAATTTATTGAATTGGTATTATTATCTGCACACACTGTGAAGAGCTAAAGAGTACCATTCATAAGAAGCTTAATAAAGTCTATGTCACTGTAGCTGATAATATGAGGAGAATTGGAGAGGTTCATGAGAAGGTGGTTGATTTTGTGGATAAAAAGGAGGAGACTGCATTAGATAAGGTGGATAAAGTAGTAGACAGAAAACTTAAGAAGTTGAAAATATGTTCCAGCTCAGGACTTGATCATTTCTCGTCAAGATTTCTTTCAGAATTTTCAGCTCCACTCTGTATTCCACTATCTATCTTCTATTCTAAGTCAATGAAATCTGGTGCAGAACCCCATGACTGGAGAGACGCTAATGTCACCCCTATATTTAAGAAAGGATTCAAATACAACCCCAGTTATTCAAGACCAATATCATTGAAATCAATTCCTTGCAATGTAATGGAATCCATTATTATAGATGGCATAGTGGTATCTACTAAAATATTGTCTCATTAAAAGTTCACAACATGAATTCATGTCCATAAAGTCTTGCACTACTAATATCCTGGGATTCTTATATAAAATTACCAATATTGTGGATGGAGGAAATTCTGCAGAAATAGCTATCTTGATTTAGTAAGGTATTTGATTAAGTGCCACATACAAGGTTACAAAAATATGGACCAAATTCTTGTGACCCAACTGCAAACAGCGGATGATTCTAAATGGATGTTGTTCTGAGTGGTCCTATGTTATAAGTGGGGTCTTCTAAGGGTCTGTCTTGGGTCCTCTTCTTTTTGTTACATTTATAAATGATCTGTACCACTGTACCAAAATGAATGAATGGCTAACCCCTAGCTACAGTAACCCACTAATGAGACATTGGAGTCATAATAGATTATACCTCACAGAGCAATAACTGTACTGGCACAGATCTCTAGTGTTTTTATATACCACGACAAGAAAACTTTTTGAAGAATTTGTCTGACGTCACCTAGAATTTTCAGTCCAGGCATGGAGTCCATGGTTAATGGGTGATATTGAGCTGCTAGAAAGGGTTCAGCAAAGTTACTAAAACAAACCCATTGTACCACTGAACAACTAGCTGTGGCTAGTACAAACTAAATTAAACGAGAATACTCAACTAATTAGGTTGTGGTGAGACCTGGAGAATAGGAGAACAGAACAGAAGAGATAGAGATGGAGGTTGCAAGTAACCATAAAGATATTGAAGCTGTTGGAAACAAGGTTGAGGATCTGAGAAGCATTAGTAACAAAAATACCAAAGATATTAAGGAACTGCCCAAACCAATAGAAGATTGATTAACTTCTTTATGAGCTCAGAGAGAGAGAAGATAGAAAGGATAATCTACTTTTCATAACATAGCAGAGACTAATGAAGATGTGTGAAATGGTATATCTAGACAAGAGAAGGATATCAAGTGTCTCCTTGAGATCCTTAACAAGATTGGAGTAAGGCTTTAAGAGGAAAGTGTCCAGTTTTCTAAAAGGATTGGGGAAAAGAAGGAAAACTGTAGACCTTTGATGATTGGATTTTGTAGTCTGGAAAAAAATGTAAAAAAAATGCTTGAAAAAGCCAAGAACCTCCCTACTACCAGAGGGAGGAGGAGGATAGAAGTTCTGAAGCATAAATCTGAACATAAAATGAAACTTCGCAGAACTCTGAATGGAAACTAGAAGGACCAAGAGAAGAGAAAAGAGTTTGACTGGAGAAAAAGATTTTCCCCAGGAGAAATTATAATACTCAAAGTTCTGAAAGGAGGGTACACATATCAAGAAACTGAGCCCAGGAGTATTGAATATGTTAATGAAAAGGAGAACGCATAACAGAAAAAGAAGCCAATCAAAATAAACCCTAGAGAAACATAAAGAGGCCAGAAGAACCAAAACGAACAGAGATCAGATAAATAGAGATACTGATGAGAAGGACAATGTCCAGAAAGATGGATAACCAGCTGAGGATACAAGAGTACAAGAGAAGATTATGATCAGGCTTCTCCATCAGTATGGGGAAGTCCCTGGGACGCAGGAACAGAACAGGAAGGACAACAGAAGGGAACAGCCAATCAAACTAACAATTCTCTACCTTAATGCTCAAAGTGTTGTAAACAAGGTATAAGAATTGAATTATATTTCGGAAGACTTAAAACCAGACATAATATTATTGACAGAGTCTTGGTGTCATGGATATCCAGGACTCAATTTTGAGTTTAACAAATTATGAACTAATTAACGAGCTTAAATGTGATTGAATAGACACTGCTAATGGTATAGGGGGAGGTCTCCTTGTAAATGCCAAAAGTGGACTCATGATATTGCCCTATTTCTAATAGTAATAGTGATACTACAGCTGAACTATGTGAAATATTGAATGACATTGAACCAAACTCATTTGTTAATGGTGACTTAAATCTCCCAGGAATAAATTGGGAAACCATGACCTCAGATCAAAGATGAAAAGGTGTATGTAAGACCTATGAATCTTTTAATTCTCAATGTTCAGGTTGAATCCGAAAACCCTGATCTGAAGAAGCACATGAATATCTATTCGGATATCTCTCTTGATTCTTTGGTCTCATTTCCTTCTCTGTATATATATAATTGTATTCTAAACATAAACTTTATTTAGAGCTTAAACTAAAGTTTTATGGGCTGATATTGAGAACCTTAAGTTTGCACTGAATCACCTGGACTGGTTTGAACTCCTAAATGATAAATGTACAAGATTGGCATGGGATACTTTCAAAATAAACTTAATCAAACTTGCTAATATCTAGGATACCTTGAAAAAGATTAGAAATCCTAAGACTCCACTGAGAATGAATAGGAATCTATTGAGTTTGATAAGGAAGAAAAGAAATAGCTACTGAAGGTACAAAGAAACTAGTTCTTGATGTTGATAAGAAAGAAGATAAGAAGCTACAGAAGGTACAAAGAAACTGAAGAACAGTGTTAACTGATTGCATAAAAAGATGACAAAATATGTTGTAAAATTGTGCAGAAGAAAGAAAAGATCTTGAAACCTTTTTCAAAATACTCATCTACCATATCACTTAGCACAGTTTATGACTATTGAAAATTAATGCAAGAAAGCTGTTTATTATGCTAAGCAAAACTTTGAGAAAAAATAACCTAGAGTGCAAACAAAGGCCCTTTTATGCATACCTAAAAAAGAGAAAAAAAGAACAAATGTGGATGTTTTCTGCAGTGCATCCCTCTTTGCATCATATACAGAAAATCAATGAGCTCAGGAATGATTCCTGTTGATTGGAGAACATCAAATCTTACCCAAATCTTTAAGAAGGGAGCTAACACTAAAGCAGAAAGTTATAAGCCAGTCTATTTAACTTCAAAAATGTTTGATGTTTGAATATATTATCAAGGACCAAGTAAAAAATACTCTTCTGGACAATCACCACATTTAAAAATACTCAGCATGGTTTTCTCAGCAATAGATCTGTTACCATAAATCTCCTAGAACTCATTGAAAAGATCACTGAGATGTTTGATAATAACAATCTTCAGATATAATATACCTGGATTTTGCCAAAGCTTTCAACAAAGTGCCAAAACAATTAAAAAGTTAGAGGCCCATAGAGTAAAAGGTAATGTTCTCAAGTGGATCCACAACTGGCTACTGGAAAAAAAACAATGAGTTGTTATAAATGGTAAAATCTCAGACTAGATGAGGTGTGCCTCAGGGATCTGTTCTTGGGCCGCTTGTGTTAATTGTTTTATTCAATGATATTGATGGTTGCACATATAACTTAATGACAGCTGAATTAAAAGAGAGCAAAACTATAAAATCATTCAAAGATGGAATGGATAACATCACTTAAACCAAACATGCTACAAAAGACCACATTGAAGCTCCCCTACCTGGATTTCTAGGATTCAACATAAAAATATGAAGTAAAAAGTAAGAAGTATTATTATGTCAATCCATTGTAAGTATGCAGCCTTTGTATTTTTTTTATCAATTGTGGAGCCAGTGTCCAACATTATATTTGTATTAAATCATACTTTCATTGAATTAAAATTTAAGAATTCATTACAATTGAACTTTTAAAATACAATGTATTTTCTTTGGCTTCTATTGGTCTTAATTTAGTTAAAAATGTTACAACTTCAATAGTATAAAAATTCAAGATGAAATTTCCTGAAGAAAATAACGAAAAAAACAATAAAGTCAAAAGGGAGATTACAGGATCTTCGTTTTACCGCATTTCTTTTCTGAAAAGATAAGAGTATTTTATAGAATATATTTCTTCATTGAGGAGGTATTTTTATTATTGAAAGGGTTGTAAGCGTACTTTTAAGTGACCCTCCATGCAAAGATGACAAATCCTGATTCATGGCAGTTCCTTTCAAATTTTGTCTGATGAAGTATGGATTAGATATCAATGTATAATGTTTATACCTGTGAAAACTGATTATTCTTGACTGTGGTGAATAACACATTTCAACTCTGAAGGGAAACATATAGAAATTGTTAAAATTAAATCAGGCATTGTCTTTTCCTGTCTTTGCGTGGAAGGTCACTTGAAATTACACTTATAGTCCCTTTAAATTAAAGAAGCATTGATAGATTGTTCATTTGATTATTTCATCTTTTTACTTTTTCCAATCTTTGGATGAAAACCTTTTCTTTTAACTCCAATTATTTCTTTTTCAGTCTTTTTCATTCTAGCAGTTTTTTCTTGTTTAACAAGTTGAGTTTTCTTCTTTGTATTTGTACTTTTTTTCTCATCTTTGGTTATTTTACTGGACTTTTTTGTACCACTTAAATTCTCCACTGGTTCGCCTAAAAATATAAATAATTTATTAAACAAAATTATTTATTTATATAAAATTTTGATTGGGGAACTTAGTAAAACCACAGGAGTGTTCTTAGCCTGGTTTTAAAATTCTAAGATAAGGAAAACTTCTGGCAAAGCATCTAGTCTTAATCTCTACTTGTTTGTTGGGATGTCCGATCATAACTCATGAGGCAAACGATTTGCTTCAAATTGTTATTGGAGAATTTGGAAGAACCATCGAAATGTATTTTGCGTCAAAAAAAATAATTCTAAGTTGTGTCAACTTCCCAAGTGACAACTTTCCAAGTGACAACTTTCCAAGTGGCAACTTTCCCCAAGTGGCAACTTTCCAAGTAGCAACTTTCCAAGTGGCAACTTCCAGAGTGTCAACATCCAGAGTGTCAACTTCCAGAGTGTCAACTTCCCTAGTGGCAACTTCCTAAGTGGCAACTTCCTAAGTGGCAACTTCCCAAATGGCAACTTCCCAAGTGGTAACTTCCCAAATGGCAACTTTTCAAGTGATAATTTTCCAACAAGTGTCAATTTGGCGGGGGGGGGGGCATGAGCTATGGCTATGGGCTAGAGGGCCGAGCGCTGCGGCTAGGACTAACTTAGGAAATTACACATTAAGAAAGTTGCCACTAGGGAAAATACCTTATGAAGTTGCCGAATGGGGGAAAACCCTTTCAGAAATACATACCTTGCAGTTTGAGTGCCTGTAGGTGCCTTAAATCTGCACTAAACAGAACAGAATGTGCCCATCCGGCATAATCTCCATACAATCCTCTTTTACAAACATTTTGTTAGATTTAAAGTGACTGTAAGCGTAATTTCAAGTGACCCTCCTTGCAAAGAATGCAATGCTGAATTGACAAAAGTACCCATATTATTTTTTACTGCTGGAACACATAAATTAATTTTATGAATTGAACCTGGAGTAACGACTATATCGTCCATATTATTGATCAGATAAAGGTTTCAAGGGTACAGTTGTGAATCAGGCATTCCCATCTTTACCTTAAGAGTAATTTAAAATTGCCTTACAGTTAAGAAAACAGAAAAATATTTAATATGAAATTTAATTTTGTCAGTTACCATTATTAATTTGATTTCCCAACAGCGATTAAGAAAATATATTCCAAAAATTAAAAATTTAAAAACGAGTATAAGATGAAACCTTTCCCCTTGAATTAGAAATTTAGAAATTTTCAAGACTTAGTGAATTGATTTAAAGTTCTAGATGTGTAGCGACGATGGTGCAAACTGCACACAATAATTGTGAAACTAAAGAAATAGGTTAATTTTTGTGAAAACATAGCTTGCTCTTGAATTCCAAAGATCATGATTGACTAAATATAATTACAGCAAAATTGTATACTTAAAATAAAAATAAAAAAATTCTCTTTTTAAATACTACAAAATATGTGTGTGTTCCTGAAATGGTCTCCGATCTCCGTGTAGACTTTATTGTTTGATGAAAATAAGTATTGTTTGATGAAAATAAGTATTGTTTGATTCAAAAAGTATTGTTTGATGAAAATACGTATTGTTTGATATAAAAAAGTATTGTTTGATGAAAAAAAGTATTGTTTGATTAAAAAAGTATTGTTTGATGAAAATAAGTATTGTTTGATTAAAAAAGTATAGTTTGATGAACAAAGTATTCTTTGATTCCTGAAAGACATGAGTATCTACAGGTACAGAGGAGGGCTGGTCAAGGGACATCAATAAAATACAGTCAGCTACCTAGAATATTTTGTTCCTGAGCCTTCAGCACTAGAGATGGGCATCGGTTTTGCTAACAAAATAAATATTTTAAAACGAAAGAAATTTTTCGTAAATGTCGAACGATGATGTCGTTCAGAAAAATTAATGCACGATGAAAATTAATTGGATCATTAAAAGATAATTTCAACTAGTTTTTTTTTAACAAACAAGAAAATATCAGCAATTTTAAATCATTCGTTCTTTCGTTCAATCTGACTTGAATAAAACAATATGTTTTAAAAAATTAAACGATTTTTCCAAACAAACTTTTTAAAGATCACAAACGATTTTTCTACACCTTAGGTCCTATCCCTGAGAGAGAGAGTAGTTTCTCCTTGGCTTCTGCATACTTAAGTTTCCGCAAACCGTGCAACCATTCCTCTCCTCCCAATTCAAGGATTTTCTAAAACCAAAAATATTATAAAAAAATCAGACTTCCTAATTTTCACTTTAACTAACCTGAGCTGACAGTTGTATATATTTAGCCCTGTATCCGAATCCAAGTTCCCGAAGTTTATCCTCAACCCCAGGACCAGATAAACTCTGAACCATCGGGTTCGAAAATAAAAAATATGTGTTAAAAATTAACACTTTTCTGGGGAAAAATACATACTTTTTGTCTATTATAAAGTGTTGCAAAATAAAAATATGTTCAAACATTTAAATAGAGTTTGATATTTTGGTGACAGAAAAAAAGAGTTGTGTTAAAGTATTACCATAAAAAAAATCGTAGTTTTAAATATTAAGAGTTCAAATTATTTGTACTTTGGGAAAATATAACATGGTTGCAAAAATTACTTACATGGTGTACAAAACTATAAACAAAGTGAAACTATCCAATTCAAGTAAAAAAGTAAAGAAAAATTTTATTTCTAACTTTCTTAATTTCCTGAACATTCCTCAAGTTTTGGAAAACTATGATACTCAACTCCTTCAAACTCACACACCTTTAAGAGTATAATTCAAATAATGCGGATGAAGTTTATAAAAACTAGGCATTTAGGACGCTTTGCGCACCATTCCTTTTAAAAATGTTATCAGCATTTAATGGTCATTCTTCATAACTCAGCCAGTTTTTGAAAATCAAGTCAATGTTGATAAATAAATGTTTATTTCTTGATAAATAATGTTCTCTCAAAAGGTAAAGTTGACAAAACATCAGTTTGAATTATCTACACTCCTTATCTCCATACTCCTTGGCCATGTTCTCCACCATCCCTGATATTCTGGAGATGTTGTTGTTGGCTGAACAGATGAAGCTGAACAGGTTTTCCACGGGGTCCTGCATGTCAGAGATATTTATTTAAAGAATTACCACCCCCCCCCCTTCCAAAACTTTTACAGATGGTGGGCGGGGTGGGAGGGTGAAGAAAAATTGGGATTTTACTGGCAAGGTTTTTCCGCCTTTAAGATACTATTTGTCTAATAAAAAATCCTAAAAAATACAATCCTTAATAACTCTTGGGAAAATTACTTTTTAACAAGGGAGAGTGTAGCGATGATAATTCAGCAAATGTCATGCATATCATACAAAAATAAGTAAAAGATGAAAACTGAAGAAAAAAATTCTTAGTAATCATTTTCCATCAACAATTTCAGCTTTAATGTATTGCTTTTCAAGTTACCATTTTAATCGTACTTTCCAGAAAACAAAATTTTAGTGAATTTAATGTTTAAATCGGCGGATTTAAAAATACTAAATGATAAAAAAATTTAAGCATTTTTGATTTTACCGTCTATAACCCTTTGGACGTTCTGTTAGTTGCCACAAAAAAATGTGGGCCATGATCAATACAGTCGTTTGGACGTTTATCGGATACAAACAGACAGAATTATTTACCTCAATACTTTGCTTAATTGTTGCTTTCTCAATATCCAATAAACGTCAATACGGCTGAACCGATCGGAACCAAATTTCATGTGGGAGCTCACATGACACCAAGGAAGGTTTATTGAAGGTCAAAGTAGAAAATTGTTGCCTGGAAAAAAATGTTGACATTTATAATTTTTTTAAATGCCCAATTTAAAAAAATCCGCCATTCACGAAGAAAAATGCTAACTTGAGAAGCAATTTTGTAACACTTAAAGTGTTGCTAGTTTATATACAGATTTAAAAAAACATAAAATGAAAAATATACTTTTTTGTGGCTACCTGTCTTAACATCCTCACACCAGGATACTTCTTGCCGATCTCTTAACAATCAAAATAAAATATATCATTCAAATTAAAATCAGAAAATTATTTTCCGACAATAATGATTATAAGTGAGAGAAGGTTGTAAATGCAAATACAATTCTGAATTAGGCAGAACAAAAAAGAATTTGAAAACTGAGTGGCAAAATAAAAATAAAAGTTCTCAAAAAAAGATATTGTAGTAACCTAAAGAAAGAATTAAAATGGAGAGGAAATATAATCAAAAAAAAAGTAGGGAATAATATGAAAACATGGAAGTGATAAGAAAATATTGGAGTTTACTTACGCTGAATTAGGGAAGTGTCAAAAAAAACTGAATAGTTAAGTTTTTAATACTCCCCTCCCCTCCCCCAATTTTTAATTGTAAGAAAAAATAACATAGTCAAATTGATAAATGTACCTAAAAATATAGGATCAACTTTACTCCATGCTTGATATAATGTTTGAAGATCAACATCAAGGTTTAAATAGGTCTGCAGCGCAGTTTCATCCAGACAACCTTAAATTTTATTTACGTTTAGTGATCATAAATAAAAAGACTTATTCAATAACTTATTTAAATAAATAATTAAATAAATAATGTTGTATTTGCTACCCTGGGTAACATAGTAGAGGACTTGAAGGACAGCCACATTTCCTCATAAGAAGATGATCAAACGGTTTGACCAAATTGGCTGAAATTTATTCAACAAAGACATTTTTTCAGATTTCGAAATTTTTGTTTTCTAATATGTATTTAAATTTCAACGGGCAACCCAGGGCACTTCAGTTAGTATATAACATAATAATATTTGACCTGATGGATCACTGTAGTGCAGAAAACTTTCGTCTTGTTTCAATAATACAAGTTTATTAAACAGAACCCCAGCATAGATAGTTTCATCTTCGAGTTGTTCCGCTTTCCATCTAGTTTCAAACTCATAAATATGAATATATAAACTTGAATGGTCAATGGAAATTTTTAAGTTTTAAAAAACAGTGGAATCTTTATCAGTTAGAACATGAGCTCACCTTATCTGGTTTTGACTTAGATAATGTCATGTACATATATATGAAGGGGGTGGGGAAAGGGGTCCAAATAGTTCAAATCCTTCTTAAGTAATTAATACCGAAAAAACTTATGAATACGTTTCTGAAGGATCATACTAAGCCAATACAGATTGACACGACGTAAAATTTGAAACTCAAGTTACCTAAAACTTTGTCCACATTTCAAGGTTATGTCAAGTCTGAGTTCTGACCGAGAACATGCAAATTTTCGCCAGATCAGCTGACAAAATTGTTGCGCCACCATTTTTCCTATATATTGCTACCAAATTGATATGATGTTAGTGATTTACCAAGCACGGATATTAAAAAGTAACGTCTCCTTCGTTTACTTCGTTTTTAATCTGGTAAATGATATTTTAATCATTGAGACACCAAACTCATTGTATTTTAAGAATTGAATTATTTAAATGAAATAAATTAGCCAAACCAAACCTTCCAGTCTGCTGCCTTAACTTTAGAGTGTACAGTTTTGAATTGTACACAGTGAACCCAGCAATCACATTGTGAAAGACGACTTTCAAAACCATATCTGATATGAGAAAAAAACTGCAAATGAAGTTCAATTGAACAAATATTTATTCTAAAGTACTATAGCTTTCTTCATTTCTTCATCTTCTTGTATTCAACCTTCCTTCCTTTTTTATACTAACCCGGTTTTAATGGATATAGGCCTTCAAGGCCAGTCCAAATGAACATTTATGTAAAACATATTCTTCGTGAAATTTTTATAAAATGAACTATTTTCTGAATTTTTTCATGTGGTCCATCGCAAAAGTATTTTGAGCAATACAACATTCTAATTTTATATAGCAAAATTGGTTTGGTTTGGCAACTGGTGAGATTAAGTTTTGCAAGAAAAAATAAATTTTAACTGCCGATTACAACGTCGATACACAACCCTCTATACTGAACTTTCCGATCTATTGCAGGCCGACTTACGACAGCTGTAGGTCAGTTGCACATTTCTTTTTTTAATCTGACCACAGATGTGACATAGGTCCTTAGCCATGCGCATGCGAGTTTATTTTTATGCTCTCTCTTCGTAGGTCCGGGATGTACGTATACTTTTTGTGGGTCGGATGTACAATTTTTGTGTATCGGATATACACTTTTTTTAGTCCGGATGGTCATCATTGTAAATCATATGTACACTTTTTGTAGGTCAGGACATGGTTGGTCGGATGTCCACTTTTGTAGGTCGTATGGTCATTCATGGTCGTTACACTTTTGTAGGTCTTATTGTCATCAAATGTATATATAGGTCGGAAATTATTATTTTTGTCATGCGCAAGAGTACAACGGACATTTAAACGAAGTTAAAATTATATCTATGAACATTTGAATGACGTTTCATGTTTTTTTACTATTAAATGACATCAAAATAATGTCAATTAAGATTATGATAATGTCCCTCGTTTGACAAAAAGTTGTAAATGTATTAAATTTAAATAAGAAAAACAGTTGTTAATATTATGTAACAAATCTAAATATTCATCACAAACAAAGATACTATTGTCTTTTTTTTTACTTATTGTAAGAGTATCTTTAATGTTTCCATAGAATCTTCATAACATTGCTGAACTGTTTGTCATTCCCATCCATGGTCCCATAGTCAAGACTTCAACTGTGAAATATATCCACTCTTCAACTGAAATATAATTAATCTAAATATCTAGTAGAAGGAGAGAAGATTAGAAGACTATCAGACTCAGGACTAGACAACTAGTAAATCGGTAGACTAGAAGAATAGAAGACTAGAATACTAGAAGATTAGAAGACTAGAAGACTAGAAGATCAGAGCACCAGAATACTAGAAGACTAGAAGACTAGAAAAGAAGACTAGAAGACTAGAAGATCAGAGCACCAGAATACTAGAAGATTAGAAGACTATAAGACTAGAAGATTAAATGAGAAGAGTAAAAGTAAAGAGAAGATGAAAAGAAGAATAAAGAAGAGAAGAGAAGATGAGAAGTAGAGAAGAAGAGTAGGAGAGAAGAAGATAAGAGAAGAAGAGAAATAGAGAAGAATTGATAAATAAAATAGAAGAATAAAAGAAGAAAAGGACAGAACGAGAGAAGAAGATAAGAGAAGAATTAAATCAAATTCATTATTAATTATCAGTCTTTATTTATTACATATTACATAATTAAGTAGTTTCATAATAAGTAAACAATTAAATAATAACGATTATAAACAAAATTGTGGTCTAATAATTAAACGGCATTTAAAGAACATCTTTCTTAAATCTACGACTTCTATGCTTTGATGATTTCTTTTCCGGTCCCTCGAATACTCAATTTTTGTTTAACCATTTTATTTATTATTTCCGAGCCTCAGTATTAAATAATTTATTAATTTGGCACATGTATAGGATACGTAAATATTATTTAACTAGCTCCATCAGTCCTGGACCAAATTTAACTAATTTGAACTACTTCGCTAAACTAGCTACTGCCAGTTAAAATTTGAGCCACCTATTCAAAGTTAAAGATAAAGCCCGGGATTAGAATTGGTGATCAAAATTTGAACAGGCGATAGGCATTGAAAATTCATTAAATGGGCCCATTGGGTCCAATTAAATAATGGCATCGTGAAAGTTAAAGGGTCTGTTAAAGTAATTTCATGTTTAAAAGAAAAATGCCTGATTCTCAACATTACCTTAAAAACTAAAAGCTTTGTCTGATCAAGTGTATATTATATATCCATGATAATAATTTTGCTAACTGATTATTTTTAATTGTGGTTTCTCTACAGAAGTGTATTAGGCATTTCTCCTACATGAAAGCTATTGAAAGCAAATATTAGAATTGAATACTTTAAACTAAAAAATGACATTATCTTCATTCATCTTTATTATAGATCAGATAAAGGTTTCAGAGTACCATTGTAAATCAGGCATGCTCCTTTTAATGGAGGGTCACCTGAAATTACGGTAACCACCTTTAGATAAAATATTAAAACAAACTCTCAAAAATATTTGCATTTAATTCTGTAATTTTTTAAAGAATTGAATCGAAGATAGTAAGGCACATCATTAGTAGTTTTAGAGAAATAATTAATGGGTCTTTTCGGAGGAAAATGCAGAATGGTTTAGTTAAATAATAAACATACAGGAAACCTTGGGAAAATTTATCCAGTACTGGTAAGGGTTTCCCTTATTGTGATACTCTTACTTAAAAAAGTATGCATTGTTCTTGAATCCACGAAAAGTAAACGTTAAAAGGCAATTTACAGCACATAAAACCCAGAGCAATTCCGTCTAAAAAATATTATCAAAAATTCTGAACATGTTGGTTGCTGAACAGTGAACATGTAATGGGAAGTATTCGGAGATGGTTTTTCTCTTTCAAAACAAGATACCCGTATCATCAGAATCATCCTCACGTTCTAGCAAACCTACGAACAGTGAAATTTTAAAGTCTGTTTTGGAACTTTGAGATGATAATTGAAAATAATTTGTAGATTGCAATGAACGTTGTAAATTATAGAACTCAGTTTTCTAGAAAAAAAATAAAGATGGAATTGAAGTATTTTTCAGTAATTCTATACAGTCGTCGTTGTATATATCAATAAAAAAAGACCGCTTTCAATTTCAATTTTTATATAAACATGGATATTCGATTTACATAAACATGGATATTAGATATACATAAATATGGATATTAGATATACATAAATATGGATATTAGATATGGATATCAGATATACATAAACATGGATATTAGATATACATAAATATGGATATTAGATATACATAAATATGGATATTAGATATACATAAATATGGATATTGGATATACATAAATATGGATATAAGATATACATAAACATGAAAACAAAGAGAATCTGTCGGCTAAAAAACTTTCTTTATTTTACTTGTAATCTTGTAATTAGATAAAAGCGTGTAAACAATCAAACTTAAATAAAAAAGTCTCCTTCATTGTATTAATATAATCGCCTACCACTGTAGAATAGCCAAATAATATGGGAATTAAGTGTCGACATAATGACATTAAAACATCCCACCTTTAACCAAATAAACAAATCATTATAAAATATTTCGATTCATGATTTTGGGTATTTCAATCGTCCATGAAAGTACATAACAGACATACTACATTTTGTCAAGTTGAGAATGGGGAAGTACAAAGTTAATCAACAATAATCCTAGCACTATCAATAAAAGAATGAATTTTGTGTGTAGAACGAATGCTCCATAAAAGTCATATCTTAAATCTTAGTTTTATTGGGAGTCCCTTCAATTTACCTGTTTTAGATGCAGAGTTTTCTCGTCTTGCCTTCCCTGAAACATTATTTTATTTTGTCAATACAGTCAGAACAAGAAAAGATTACACTGTCTTCCTATAGTTTTGGATAAAAATAAAAATGCCACTGAAGATTTGAAACTTGTTAGGAATTCTAATTCTCACACAGGTCTGCTGCTTTTGCAATTCTAAATTGGCGATACATTGCAAACTAGGACCGTAAATGTTGACCCAGCGAGGATGGAAATGTAAAGCGTCCATGAGCCCCGCAAACTGACCTCCAACCGTAAATGTTTCGCAGAATGGCCTCTTTGTCCCCTCCTAGCCAATCAAAATCGTGTCCGAGCCTCATGCTACGTCTGACAGTAGGGGAAATATATTTTTCCGTTTGCGGCCCCTGGAACTTTAATTGGGCTTGGGGGAAAAAAAGTAGAAAAAAGAAAAAGGGGGAAGGAAAGGGAATAAGGAAAAAGGGAAGGGAAAAGGGGATAGAAAAAAGGGAATAAGGGAAAGGTAAGGGAAAAGGGGAAGAGGTATGGTAAAAGGGGGGAAGAGGGAAGGGAAATAATGAAATACTACAGAAGCACAAATTTAAGTATTTCTCAAAAACTATTATGTTTTGTAAATTGGTGGTAATCTAATTAGATTCGTACATGATAAATCTGTGAAATGATACAAAATTTGTCTACCTTTATACAAAGCTGCAATAGTTCTGGACAAGTTAAGGAATTTGTGTAATTTAGAAAAACAAAATAAGAAGTTTTAATTTCAATAAAAGTAGACTTTTCAACATAAAATGCTAATATACCATTAAAAACTTTATGAACATGTCGAGATTTTCTAAAAAAAACTTTTCTTATACAAAGGATTTTCAGAGTCTTTTTACGTGTTATTTAAGTGATTTCATCAATATTATAATTCTGAATAATATATACTCCTGTGATAACTTGCCACTTGGTGCTTACCTTGCCACTGTTTAGCATGATTGACAAGGTTTGAAAGATCTGTAAATGTATGAACGGTATTTTCATTCCTACTTGGAGCATTCTGCTTTCGTACCTTTAACCTAGAAATATTTGTAGATGGTAACTGAAATTTTCATCACAATGGTGCCATAACAATTGTCCTTTTATATCAAGTAACGATGGAATAGACAGAACATAAATTCTTTGTATGTATTTACACAAATCTCGGCAATTTCTTGATAATATAATCTTAAAAATGGTGAAAAAATGTGTTCGTTTATATATAGAAGATATCCACGTCATGAAACACTAGGGACTTCAGAATGCTAAAAAAGAACATTTATTATGTCATATCTGTTCGGTTCCAACTTCCTGTAAACCCTGTAATAAT